TTTCGAATATATATTTCAGTAGATCAACTGATAGCAACCGACTATAGTTCATTGACTGATTTGAGCTGATGCGGAGACCTACATATGTATCAGTTTGAAAATTTCGAACAACTTTCGTATCGATTAACTGTAATTGTGATTCGAACCGCAGATTTCTCGATCAGTACGCCCGCGCTCTTCTGTACAAGCACGAACAAAATGTGCTTTGGTAAACTACTCGTTAACTGGTATAAGGCTACTGGTATTTCTACTGGTTGATGTTGATGTATCGCTTGACAATTGACATTTAATAAAATTTTGCCAAGTCAAAAATGCCCGCTGCTGGTATTGAAAAATGATTGAAGACGAACTAGTTGAGCTGATAAACAAATAGATAGTATTTATTCTATTTAGTTCACAACTATGTAGTAGATTTTCTTCCCTGCAGGTTCTCTATAAGCAACGCACATACATACATACATACATATGTACATGTGTAGTTACGCATGCAACAGTACGTAAATCACGCCGTACTGCTGCTGCGCATCTGAGCTGCGACAATGCTGGTCATTGAACTGAAATAGCGCGCTGGGCACTAGTGACTTTGCTCATTTGCTTTGCTATCGCCGCTTCTCTTTTCCTTCCTCTTCCTCCCTCCTCTGGATAAATATGCGCCAGTGCATTGACCAGCTGTCAAGTTGATTGACAGCCAGGCAGGCAGGCAGGCAAACGCTTATTGACAATGAATTCTCTTATTACACTTGCAGTAGCGCGTAAACACACGTGCATGTGCATTAGGGTGGATTGTTTTGAATGGCAGTGAAAAACTACATAGGTTCAGATGGTTAGAGAGAAGTAGGGAGAATAATAAAAAAGGGATCAGTTAAAAATATTTCCATTCTCTGTAAATATGCAAATTTTGCGTTTAATATCTTAAAATTTGTATGCTTTTTAGTTGGTTTTAAACTGATCTGAGTAATAAGAAGAGCTAGGCAGGCATTTCGAAGAAAACGAGGTAGTCGATAAATTTGCGAAGAAAACAGGATCGACCCCTTACATCAGCTCAGAGCCCAGGTGTGCCATAGAAAAGGGGGCACTCTGTGCCCTGGCTCTGCTGGAGGAAGATTGCTACTGGGACAATCTGCCAGGTTTAGAGCATTTCTAAGCACTCTTAGAAATATGCAACCGAAAACGCTTTAAGAAATGTACGAGCTTGTCCAAGAATAACTTAAGAATTGTTACAGGAATTCTTGCAGCACTTTGCAGGCTGAACTATCTCACCTATATGTATAGTCGAAGTGGGAGTTTACTCACAAGGAAAGGTGTTCTGCATGATGTTCTGATGCACAAATGCAAAAGACAGTTGGCAGAATATTTAATAACCGAGCTTATTGTAAAATTCAGAGATTTAGGAGATCAATACTAAAGTTTCTCTCAGCTACTGGGGTAGAAGACACACTATAAATCCTTGAAAGGTATGCAATAGATTTTAATGTCGCAGTGCTTTATCCTCTACAATAACAAATAATACTCGTAGCAACATTCTATGTCCTTTTCTCAGCAGCATCAGCAGAATAATTTTCCTTCTTTTGCGGTAAGAAAACGAGGCTCCCTAATGCAGATACATATGAATGAAACCATGCACCACATATATATTTATGTAACTCTGCGTTGTTACGAATTGATTAAACTTGTTAATTTATTCCTTTCATTTTCTCCTTTAGTACTTTTGCTTTATGCGCTATGGAGGAAAGATGAAAGACACTTAATTATTTTGCGTTCAGCTATGTACTTGTGAAAGTTTATATGTATACAATCATGTATATAAGAATCTTTATTATTTTTATGTACTCTATGCCATTTATAAATGCGTAATCTACTACGCCGTTATGTGCTTCTTTTAATGAATTTGTTTGTTCTTACTGTTTTCTCTTTCCAACGTTGACCGTTTGGGACATTGTCTTTTGTCGTTTATTAATTAAAGTGTATTGTTTATTATAAAGCACAGCTTGACCTCTTTACGAATAATTTATGCTCAACAGCACGCGATTGAGGCAAAGAGAATTTAACACAGTGCGAAGAGCATCTCAAGAAGTAGCGGTTTTTGGATTCTAGGAAAAAAAAAGTTGCATAACCCTGTTGAGAATCGCTTGTGTACATAGCGTCGTCTAACAAAAAATTGACATTTTAATAGATAAATGCTTAATATAGTGATATCTTTCACGAGACCTAGGTGAATCAGTCTCGCCCGTTTCGTTTTTGTGTCATTATAGGAACTTTTAAAATAGTCTTTACCTTTGGATGGCAGCTAAGTACTTTGAGAAATTGGGTATTCACAGGAGCTTTCAATTCAAATTAAGTGGTAATTTAGTAAACACAGAAGCTGCTTAATTTTACAAGAAGTATGACAGGGTACTTGAGAGAATAAAAGAGGCGATACAGCGCTTTTCTGAAGTAGATAAGCGCAAATTCGGTGTTGGATTTGTGGCTGGAGAGAGACTCCGTCTAGCCGCAATCGGCATAAAAACGAGATTCTTCAATATTTCGCTCATCTGCGCCCATAGCTCGACGGAAGAGGAAGCTCTTCTATGAACGCACATATGGGCGATGCCCACGTAATGAAGAAGGGATCTTTGGCGACACTGTCGGAAAGTTCATCCTCCACGACGAAATGTACGATAACGGACTGGGGCTGATCGACTTCGCCGGTAGTACCTGGTAATGGGTTCTAGCATAAAAAGGTCCATCAAGCTACATGGCTGTCACCAGATCGAAAAACGAGAAACCAAATCGAGCATGTTGTGATACGTGAGCTTTATGAGCTTTTCAAAGAAATGGACATAGTGCAGAGAATCTAAATATAACGGCTACGATGGCTTTGGCAGAAATGCTCCAGCTCTGAATGTATTCAACGCGCGTCGCGATGGTGGCAACAGAGGAAGAGGAAGGCCCCCACTGCGATGGAAGGCCCAAGTTGAGAAAGATTTGGTTTCATTTGACATTTCCAAGTGGCGTCAGTTGGCACAGATGAGAAACCACTGGCGGGCTTTGTGGAATTCGGCCAAAAACCTCTTAGGCGGTTACAGCGCCAATAAAAAAGAAGTCAGTTAGAGCAGCCCTGAAATCTTCCTACCTTTGTGACCTTTTCACGCTTGCGCTTTGTATCCAGTTCATTTATTCATGAGACCTATTCATGCAACTGGGATTCAAAAATGTAATTGCAGATTTCCACTGGTCATTAAATAACACAGATTTTAACTGAAAAAGTTGGGCACTAAAAATGACCTGCGATATTATTTTTTATAAAAACAATCATTAAGTTTGTTTTCACAAGGTATTTTTAAACACATATTTTATTACTTGCCTAGTAGAAATTTGGCATTCGATTCATTGGATGTACTTAAATATTTTTTATTGAAATTATTTGTTTATATAAACCATGATACAACAACCGTGATATGGCCCATCTGTTATTGAATAAATTGTCTTTCCTTCTCATTGCAGTTTCTATCTTGATTTACAAACATCACACTGGCTTCACCTAACAATACAGCACCGCCCGTGCTTTGGCGCGCGCGTAGAAAAATTGGTAAGTGCTTTAAGAAGTTTTTCATACTAAATGATGTGTTTTGATGATATGTAGATAACATCTCGAGTGGTGCTATCGAAAGGTAGAATTTCTGACATCCCTCTTGTACGACGCTAGATACTCCCCACGACAGTAACAATAATGTAAATAGTATAATAGTGATCTCATGATATTGTTTTCAAACCAGAAATGGACTATATATCGTCACCTGAGTGGAAGTTCGACCTATCTCGGAAAACTTTTCAAGAACGCTCAATTTCAGAATTTTATTGAAAAACACCCTATCTTAGAATTTGATTAGAGAACGCCCTATCTCAGCTGAAGACAAATTGAAAATGTACTGAGTGAGGGCATTTTTGAATTGGCAGCTGAGATAGGGCGTTATTCAACTAAATTGAGAGATAGGGCGTTTTCAATCAATTTTTGAAGTAGGGCGTTATTGAAAAGTTTTCTGAGATGCAGCGTTTTCGAACTGGCTTCCACTCAGGCATCGATATTCGAATGACTTTAACGGAGTGACATTTTATTAAAATTTGTTTGTTAGTAATAAAATGAAACTATAACAAATGCCAGCTGAATTATTTTTTCCGATCTATAAAAACCTTAATACGCGGCGGAGCTTTAACCTGTCTGGGTTGTTCTGGTCGTGTGCTGGGGTCTGGTGTTTCGGCCTCCAAATGCTTTATATCATTGCCCATTTTAGCCAATATCTCTTCCAGTGCGGCAATATGCTTAGTTAGCCTAATAATTTTAGAAGTTGAAAGAGGATTTATAAACTATGCTTCAGTCGAATATTTGAGCTTAGAAGATACCTGTCTATTTGCTCAGCATCGCGCTTATTATTAACAACTTGGAAGTAGCTGAAAAAAAAACAAAAAGTATAGAGAAAAGATGCTCAAATTGAAGCAGTGGTGATGCTATAAAAAGTAGTAGCTCTACGCTTACTTTCGAAGTATCTCATCTCTTGTAACTTGTATCTTCTTCGTCTTCGGCCTCGGTGGAAAAGGTGGCTCATTTTCGGCGCCCACATCACGTAGCGGCTTGCCACCTCTCGCCGATCGTGAAGGCTTGCAGAGTCCAATTGTATTCAGTGCCTTCATGCCACCAGCTTTTCCCTTATCCCAGTATTTTTTAAAGAACTGCGACAGCTGATTATTTTCTGAAGGTATTTCAATCTTTTTGATTTCACGGAATGTATCGAAAATAATGGCGAGGAACATGTTCTGTGAATTAAACTGGCATATAAGATTGGTATTTTTTTGTGTTTGCTTTAAATGCTGCCTTACAATCAGTATGAAATAGACAATTACTATGAAGGATAGAAAGTATAGTGGTCCCAGCACACGATTTGCTCTCTCTACGGCTACATAATCAAAATCGGCTAGCACCATACGCATTACGCTCCAAAATGCTAGCGGAAAGACGACGAAGTCTTGATGCGCCTCACCAAAGAGCAACATTCCGAATACGGCATAGGAGAGGAAGAGTATGAGAAAGATGACAACAAAGTTGAGCAGATCGCGGTAGCACTTGGTCGAGTAGAGGAGGAATATATATATATATGTTTTTTTTTTTTTAATTTGAACACACTTACCTTCACGAAAGTCATATTCAAGCGGAGCGCTGTTTTATTGAAATTGAAAAATTGAAATACTTTAACCCAAACTATAAATGTCAAAACAGCCATTAAATTCATGTAGTTTTTGTTAAGCCAGCAAATGACATCCAAACTGTGATATTCGGTGGGTTTTGCTTCGACTTCCTTCAAATAGTAACGCAGGTAAAACGGATGAAAGATGTTATAGCTGAACGATACGCTGGCTAGCTGCGCGTGAAAAGGAAGTAGTGTTAATTTTAAAAGTATTTTCAGACATTATAAATGTAACTTACTATCGAAATTACTATATCGCATAGATTCCAAAAGTTTTTGATATACTTTTTGCAACCTTGCTTCTTTGTCGCTAATATACCTCCAATGAGATAGTACAGTGCCATTAGATAGAAAATGACAGCTGCTAAAATAATCCAAATACTGCCCGTCCACACAGCATATTTTTGTACTGTTTTCACTTCGATAAATAGTAAAACACCACCGGTTGCAGGAACTTCGCCGAGGATTCTGTAAGAGAATTGAAGGAAGAAAGAAAATATAAAAAAAAATTTAAAAGAATCTGAAATGCAATACTTCAGCAGGAGACGGCTATGAGTTGCATCTTATACCGTTATTAATACATTTTGTTTTGATTTGTTGGCTATAATATCTGTATGGTTTAAAATAAAACTATTAAGAGTTGCCACCCGTTTGAAAAATTAAGTTTCATTAAGTTTGTAGGATAATTAAATATAGCAACATGGGTGCTTATCAAACAAAAGGGGTTTAAAAAAACTTGCTTTCAATAATAATTTTGAGGAGCGCTGCCACCTGTTTGAAAATTTTAATTCTATTAAATTGATAAGATAATTTAAATATTTCCATATGGGTATCAAACTAGAGAGGCTTAAATTAGCCTAATTTTGAAAATACTTTTGAAACGGGGTTACCACCTGATTTAAACATTTAAATCAGTTAAACTGATAGGTAAATCAAATGGTTAAACATGGGTTTTAAACTAAAGTGGTTTAAGAAAGCTTAATTTCAAAACTTCTTTAAATAGGTTTGCCACCTGTTTGAAAATTTCACTTAAAATGATAAGAAAAATTAAATATTATAGTACCTATTTGCGAAATCTTGGATTTAGAGATATTTTTCAGTAGGGATGCCACCTATTTAAAATGCTCAAACTAAAAATATTAAAATGAAATGATATATGACAAGAAAAGAAAAAAGGGAAAGCTTTTTTAGAAAAATTGTTTGAAACATCAAAAAAAAATCGATGAAAACAGAGTTAATATAAAACATAAAACGAAGTGTTCACAAACGCTTTGGCTGCGTTTCTTTATACATTCCAGATAATCCCATTTCACAGCCAGAATAAACAGAATGCGAACATTATAAAGTCATGAGTGTGCTAGCTCATACTTATTTCATTATAACAAAATCGATAAAAAAAATATCGATAACAAAATCAACAACATAATAGATAAAAATATCTATAGCAAAATCGATATATAAAAAATTGAAAAATATTCGATAATAGAAAATATCGATAGCGAAATCTGTAAAAATATCGACAACAAAATCGATAAAAATATCGACACGAAATTACCTTTATATTTTGTAATCTTTTTTCCTCTATCTACATCTTTACTTTTATCGGTATCCTTATCCTCATCTTTTTATTAATTTTAATATTTACTTTTACCTTAATGTTCATTATTTTTTTCATCAAAACCAATGACGGCCTTTTTCAGTTACTCTAACTTCTTAGCTAAAGATGAAGATTATAGTGAATTTAACCAGCCAATGATTATGGGTTTTTCCAGCCAGTTAGCTGCCTTTAGGAAGAGAGTCCATCTCTTTAAAAAATATTTGATTTCCCTAGATACTTAGCCTTTTCTTCAAGATTCATTATATCGGGGTTTCATTGTATTGTATTGACTCGTAGTATAAGCAACTTTAATTCAAAATACTTTTACTCACTTGACATTATTGAAGAGGTCAGTGTTATGATTGTAGAGCGTAAATTCGAAAATTATCAAGCGTGTGCCACGATCTAGCCATCCCAGTTGAGCCAAAGCAACCACCAAGTCCAGAGATGCATTTAAATCACGACTCAAGGGCTGAACGAAACCACCACCCCAATAGGTATGCATGCGACCGCTAACTGGCATCGTATCCAAATCGGATGCGATGCCATATTCAGTGCTGGATTTTGTCGATGGAACATTTTTGTTGAAAAAAATATTTTCATAATTTCATAAAAAAAATTCGCCTCACCCAACATGTTCGCCCGTCGTCTGCTGATTCCAATACGAATATATGGGATAACAAATGCCATGAAAATGTTTAACAAAATTCTTTCTGGCGCTGCATTCCTCTGCCTCCACGCGTATTTGCCGCAAACGTGGTATACCCAGTAGCAAATTTTCACGTAAAATATTGAGTTCACCTTTCGGGCTTCGATTGCCACTAGCATCACCGCCACTAGTGGTGTCATCGTCATTTTCTTCTGCCTGCGGTTCTTGCAATACTTCTGGCACAAATACTTCCGCTAGTTCCGACCACCATTCCTCGTACGTTACAACTCGTTCATAGATCATAAAGTGCCGCTTGATGGCATAATTAAAGTAGTATAAGTAGTGGTGGCGTACTGAGATGGCAACTGCTTGGAAGGTGCAAATAAATGAGCACTTTGAGTTTGTGATAAAAATTTCATTTAGCTACTCACCCGCTGTGGTCACCACTATAAAGATGCAGTACAGTGTTATAGATCCCAATGCTCTTCTGATATTTTTATCGCTATCATATTTCACGTTGGTCTCGAAATTCATTTTTAACCTTCGAAGCGGCAGTTGCTGTAAGAAAATTATTTATTTTGCAAATGTCAAATTACAATAGTGTTGCTTGAAAGTTATATAAAAGTAAAGTACTAAAGTACCAGACTGCTTGATAACCGAAGGAGGTATGAATACAAATTTTGAACCATTTTTAATTTTATTCCATTACTTCCAGGAGAAAAAAAAACTTATCTCTAAAGATGTTCAATGTCTGGGAGTTATCCTTGGTCACAAGCTTTCGATAAAGCTATTCAAATAGCTTGGCTCTTGGCCTGGACCTGTCGGATGATGGGGCGGAACTGAATCATGCGAAGGATGTAGAATACAAACTGTGAACGATTTTTCATTTTATACAGTCCCTTCCAGTAGAAAAAAATACTGATCAGAAATTGTTATAGAATCAGTCTTATCTTAGATAAATCTATTCAAATAGCCTACTAACTCTTAATCTGGACCTGCCGAACACTGCGGAGGAATTAAGTTATCAGACCCGAACTTACAAGGTGGATGTACGATAAATTCTTCAAACCGCAAGCTAACATAGCCAACGTGGGTATCACTGCCCTATAGTCTGGCAGCTACTAGTTGCTGGCCAAAAGTCAGTTTTTAAAGTAGCGATGATCGATTTTTTTTTGCCTCTTCGCTAAACTAATTCTCCGGAGTAAAAAGGTCCTTACTCATTATTTTCTTAAAGGGGGTTTTTTTTTATTGAGTTGACATTTCTACAAAAAGTTTACATATTTTTCTGCTTTCGCCGTCAGTATTCTTGTAGCTCAAATTGCAATAAGTTTTCGTGTGATTTACAGTTTATTTCAAATTAGGATTACCCAATTCTTTGAAACTTCTAGTTCCTGCCAGACTAACTTTCGCATTTTCATAATCAAACCAGTCCTCTTTTTCTCCATCCACATCCTTTAAACGATTAGGGAATGACATGCGTAGAAAGGGCAAAGTAATCTTCTTCATGAGTGATTCCAATTGTAATGAAAAGGATTGGGCTGATTTCTGTTGCCAGAAACTCTTTAATAACTTTAAACGATGGAAAGGATATACATTTTCCATTGTTTAAAATTTGCACAATTTAAAAACTAGACATAAATGTTTTGCCATTTTAATACTGGCTATATTTTTAGGCATTTATCTGTTAAAAACTATACCCAAATTTTTGATCCTTAAAAAACTAGATTTTTTAATAATTTTCAATGTGAACATAAACGTTTAGTAGTTGAAAAACTTGAATACTTGAAACTGAATGTTTTTTATAGTATGTAATGCAAAACTGGACATACATTTTTGACAATTGAGATCCCTAGGCATACATTTTTCAAAAAAAAAAAAAAAACTGGACATAACTTAAAGACTGGAACTTTTTTTATCATTTAAAAACTTGACAAACATATATTTTGTAATGTGAACACTGGACTAAAATTTTTGGCAACTGGACAGACATTTTTGGTTATTGAAAATCTAGGCATAGATACATTTTTTATAACCTAAAAACCGGTCATAACCTAAAAACTAGAAAAATGTTTTTTATGATTGGCATACATTTTTGGCAATATGAAAACTCGACCAACATTTTGGCAACTAAAAATTTGCACGTAATGTTTTGGTACTTTTGAAACTAGATATACAGGTTCTTATAACTGGAAAACTTTAAATTTATGGTTTGTTATACAATAACCGGACATAGATTTTTGCGGTAGAAAAATGGACACATATTTTTTAATACCTTAAAAACTGGATATAAATAATAATAATAATAATAATTTTTTTTTTTTATTTAAAAACTTTTTGTAGTAGAAGAAGGACACCCATTTTTAAATAACTTAAAAATTGGACAGATATAAATTAAAGGTATCTATATTTTAAAAAATGAACAAAAAGTTTTGTTGATTTAAAAATTTGACATACATTTTTTAAAAACTTTAAAGCTGGACATAAATTTGTAGTATGTTATGTAATAATTGGACATAGACTTTTGTAGTAGAAAAACTGAACAAAAATGTTTGATAATTTAAAATATGGGTAAAAATTTTAGTTAATTGCAAATTTTGACATAATTTTTGTTATGTGACTTAATAACTGGGCTTGAATTTTGAATCATAAAAGAATACAAAAATAGTTTACCATTTTGGTATGCCATTTAATGACTGGACATAATTTTTGGGCATTTAAAAAACGGATATATGTATATTTTGTTAGCTTAAAATTGGACATATGTAATCATTGAATCTTTCTAAGACAAAAGAATTTATCCACCTTTTTAGTGCCAGTTTTATGTCTAGTTATAGCAGGATACAAAACCTCTGCTTAGTTTTTTAAATAATCAAACTTTATTAGGGGAATTGATACAAAAACAGAGAATATAACCTATATTTTTGGTAATGTATGTACGTACCATATTTACTGTTCGGATAATATTGCTCAATAATTATTGAATCTTTTTACACATTTTGTATTCCATACAAAAAAGTGTTAAAAACTTCACTTCAAGCAACTTCACGAATCAACAACTAAGATTCATAAATTTCTTAATAACAACATAAACCTGCTATTCATACTGAAGTAGGCTGAAATGACAAGTATTGTCAATAAGTCAAAGTTATTAAATAACAATTAGTTGAGAAAACACATACGTTCATATATGTATGCATGTATGTCTTTATAAAACAATAAAGTATTTGTTGCATAAATCGCAGCAAAGCGGATAAATAAATAAATAGATTCAAGTGCACGCACCTATGTAAAGAAAAAATACAAAAAAAAACACTCCTATTTACATATAATTAAACATCATATGAATATAGATACACTCGGTAGTAAAAGTACGTATACGCACGCACAAAAAATCGCAACATCACGAGCTAGACTTACAACTGTAAATGGAGCGTGCACTGTTACTGTTTTAATTTTTTTGTTGTTAGGGTAAACGCGGCTTAACGAATGTTTAATGAAAATACGAGCATTTAATGTAAGTGCTATACAAACACACAGCTTAGATAAATGAACACATACATTTGTACATACATGTGAAGATACATATGTACATTAGACTGCATCACACCCATAAAAATAAATAAAAATAAATCGGTACTGTAATTCCACTGGTATTATGAAATCTATTATATTTTAAGGCGTTCACCAGAATATTTCAGAAAAATATTAAGATTTACGTGAGCTAAGCCGATTTGAAAATACCTCCAAAAATTAGGATTTTTATGAAAGAAAATAGTTTCTTAAAGAATTAAAAAAAGAATCTCCTCAGATGACAAAACCGTTTAAGCTTAAAATATTATCATAAAATATTAAAAAAAAATGTTCAAAGGAATCGAAAGGAATGAAACTTTTGATGCTATTTTTTAACTTTTTTTTTTAAAGATTGGTATAAGAAAAACTTGATTAGCTGGATTAAAACTATTCCGATTTAAACTTGTGAGCTTTCATTGGAAAGCTATTTTCTCACTCTTATTTCTTTGCAAATAAAGTCATTCAAAGTATGAAAGAGAAAGGAAGGATGAACGAGCGGCATTCGAAGTTGAATTAAAATGTGTTGGCATTTGAAAAGAAAAAAACAAAATTGGGACGTGAATTTTTTTCACAGAAATTAAACGATTGGGAAAATACCTTTCCTTCTCACAAGTCTAAATCGCAATATTTTTGGCCCAGTTATTCAAGTTTTTCTTAACCAAATCTTTGAGAAAGGTAAAAAACAGCATAAAAAATCTCATAATTATGATACCGTCACCAATTTTGGAGGTATTTTCAAATCGGTGCTGCTCACGTAAATCTTAATATTTTTCCGAAATATTTTGGTGGACGTCTTCAAATATAATAAGTTTTGTAATCCCAGCGGAAAAACAGCAACTTTGTTTGGTGTGGCAGTCTAATGTACATACATACATCTACATATTCACCCATTAGCGGGCTTGCCTCTTGTCAACCAAAACAACAACAAAAAACTAGACGAACGCTAAAATATTGTTGACGGCCATTTCCGTTTCTCCACCATAAATTTTGCAAACGAACATTTTATGCTTGCGTCGCTGCTTTTATCAAAATTTGTTTTTGTTGTTTTTATTGCTTTTTGTTTTCGTTACCGATTCGTGCTTTTTACCGGCATTTTGTGAAGCGTTTTAAATCTTCACACTTAAAGTGGCTCAAAAAAGCTGCGTATTATTACTCACCTTAGTGAGAATTGAGTAAAAGCTGCGAAAGCTTTTCATTTCAAATTTTTATATCTTAATTTTTGTGCAGCTTTACAACAACAAAGCATTACATTTGGACGGTAGTTAGTATGTGGTTCAGAGCTTTTCAGCATACTACACATACACACATACAAACACTATTCATATTAACAATTAGTTGCTTTTAAGTTTACTATGCGCCATTGGAGGATTTACAAAACTTAATGCCGATGTGAGTCTTATAACGGAAAATATACAGAGTTTTTTTAATAAAATTTGTACCGACTTTTTTTTTGTTTCTTCTTCGAATACATTTTTGCTGTGGAAGTGGCATCAAAAACCTAAAGTGTTGACTCCCTCGATTTCGTTACCCTTGAGATAGATTCTTTAGGAAGTTAGAAGAGTGAGCAAAATATAATTTTAACATTAATTTTGCAAAACTTTTTTTTTACTTTTCAGGCACTCAAGAACTAGTGAAAAGCTACAAGAACAGTTTTCTTTTATTTTTCTCAAACATTAAATTTTTTCGACTTAAAAAAACTGTTTTTAGGCATAATTTGGCAGATTTTTTTTTTTGATTTTCCGGAACTCTCTAACTATTCAAAAGTTACTCCGATCAGTTTTTTTTCAAATATTAAAAAAAATTTTGCAGAACTTTTTTGCTTTCAGGAACTCTAGAACTACTGAAGTGCTACACAGAAACGTTTTAATTTTTATGTTTCAACAAATTTTAAAAATTTTCAAGTCTTAAAAAAAAAATTTCGGCGTAATTTTGCAGAACTGGTTTTTTCTATTCAGGAACCCTAG